AATTTGTATCATAATGGTGTATTCTGCCATAACTATATTTTTTTAATTTTATTTAAGTTCTTTTTACAAGAATTTTACTACAACAGAATTATTTAAAATGCTAATAACCAAGAATGATAAGAAATCTTATACATATGTACATGTATATGTATATATATATATTTAGAGTTGGGCTACTGCACAAAAATTTTAAAACTGCACAATGTGATTTTTGTGATTCAGGCTATTTGGTATAGTTCAAAAAATCCTCAAGCTGCTTAGAGGTGCTGATATATTATTGTAATTAGGTTGTAATCTAATTATCTCAATAAAAATAATCTATTTTAAAATAGGTTGTAACTAATTACAACAATATGTCTATACCTTAGTGTTTGTATTCGGCCAAAAAAATATTATTCAATTAACTGGTGAGTAAACTCATGGGTTACTCAAATAATCAATAGATATACCCGAGTATAAAATTTTACTTGTTATATTCAAGTAAGTTGTCATGTGATTGGTTATATGAATTATTGTAGCCAATCAAATCTTATATTTGTTGGTAAGTCTATCTGGGTATTACTCGGGTGAATCTACCTAAGTAGCTCTATTAATTACCCAGTTTTCATAATTTCTGAAACATCTAATAAAAAATCTGCTGAATGATTTTTTAGCTGTTCTGGTTAAGTTATTATTTCAGTATAATAGATTTAACAAAATTACAAATTATACTGTATGTACGTACATACGTACATAGACATGATTATTAACCTGCATTACAAAAATTTCACTGACTTTGTGTGCCAGTTCTAGACAATGTTATTTACATAACAAAAATTACATATCAGAAATTTATATGCAAATCTTCACCCTATATACTGATATATTCCTATATCTCTACGTATATATAAAAGACATATGCATTATATGTGATACTTTTCTACGATAAAATTTTAACATTATAAAATATCAGCACGTTCAATATTACTAAATTTCATTTAAATACTTGCCTAACATGTTTAGTGCTATAATATGTTTAGTCTGTGCGAAAGCATATATATTTCAAATTACAATGTAATTTATATATTATAACGTAATATAAATTGTAATTTATCATTATGTATCAATCATACCAAAATTAATAACTTAACCAGATCGGCCAAAAAACTATTCGACAAATTTTTATCAGGTGTTTCAGAAATTATAAAAATAGCTGTAATCGGTTAACCATGAGTAACTTGTATAATAACTAATTCAGATATAATCTCTGCATATATTCACTGTTGAAAGCTAGATAATTTAGTCAATTATATGAAAGTATTCTTATCTGGGTATTATTTGGATATACTTAATCAGGTAATACTTGGGTATACCTATCTGAGTAGCTGTAGTTATTACCTAGTTATCTGATTACTTACGAGTAATCTGAGTAATACTTGACCTGAGTAATAAGTCTACTGCACTTCTAAAGCTGCTTATATATATACATACTAATTATGATATATGTTATGAGTTACAATATCAGTCAACCGATTTGTCACATATTTTATATATACAGTATTTTTTATATATAAACTTATAGCAAAAACATATAGAATTATATATAAACTTTGTTGCGATAATGTTTCTTCATTTATATATTAACTTTAAATTAAATTTTATAAATAAATACATCAAGAAAAGGTAAAAAAAACATATTTTAGACCAAATAAAAATGTTGCAATTTTGATATAATTTAAAAATATAACTTTGTTAAAAGAAAAAATTTAGCAGATTTAAAGTAAGAATTATATGTAAAATTATATTCTAAACAATTTCAATCTAGGTAACCAAAAAAGTTATCTTAGTAAAAAAAGTTTTCTATATACTAATGTCAAAATTTTTAGTTTTTTATATAAATCTTTTTTTTTGCTTAATTGGTGATTTGCTAGTCAGCCAGTAAGAGGTCATAGTGTAATGTGATGTAGTTTACTTATAGAAATTAAGATTTTGCGAATATGGGCTGCATCATTCTAAAACTTTTTTTTGTACTAAGTTAACTACCTTTGAGCTTCTAATTGAAGTTGTAGAGCTCATTAAGAGGAATCTAATAGTGGTTAAATCGTCAAATTGGCCTTGTAGATTACAAGATATCTTCGAAAAACATTTTACTGACTATGTAAAATTCTCTTTTTTGACAATAGTATCGCCAAAAGAATTTTACATAGTTAGCAAAATATTTTTTGAATATATCTCATGATCTACAAGACCAATTTGAACGATTCAAATACCATTAAATTCCTCTACAACTTTAATTAGAAGCCCAAAGGTGGTTAACTTAGTATAAAAAAGTTTTAGAATAATGCAGCCCACATTCACAAAACCTTAATTTCTATAAGTAAACCACGTCATATTATACTATGACCTCTCACTAACTGACTGGCGAATCACTAATTAAATAACCTGTTCATATAGAAAAACTAAAAATTTTGACATTAGTACATAGAAAACTTTTTTTTTACTAAGATAACCTTTTTGGTTACCTAGATTGAAGTTGTTTAGAATATAATTTTATATATAATTCTTACTTTAAATCTGCTAAATTTTTTCTTTTGATAAAGTTATATTTTTAAATTGTATCAAAATTGCAACATTTTTATTTGGTCTAAAATGTAGTTTTTTTGTCTTTTCTTGATGTATTTATTTGTAAAATTTAATTTAAAGTTAATATGTAAATGAAAAAACATTATCGCAACAAAGTTTATATGTAATTCTATATATTTCTACTATAAGTTTATATATACAAAAATTTAAGTATAATATATCATGCGACTGATATATACTTCAAGCTATATTATAATTAAGTTTTGATATGGTATATTTCAATTATTCAAGCTTCATCTACACTTCTATATACTAAAATAAATTAAAAATTAAAAATTTACTCTCACAAAAGCAAATTCAAGTCATACAATTGAATTAACGCAATCCCACATTGTAAACTAACATGTTTTGGTATAATCCTTTAAATTGCTATCCTTAATTTTTAGTATTTTAATCATATCTTTCAAAAATTGACATGCGGTATATAATTTTGTAAAATATTGATAAATAGTATCTATTTTATGAATCATGCTTTTTACAAACATGTGTTTGCACAAGTCTTCTATGATTAAATTAATACAATATACTATATATCTAATATCCAAAATATAAGGATATTTCTCACAAAGAGTTCTTTGTATAATATGAACATTTGCCCCATTATCAGATACAACCACAGCTATTTTTTCAGAACCAATATCTTCAATAATCTTGATAATTTCTTTATCTAGAAATATACCAGTGTGATGAGGTATATTAGCATAATTTTTTGAAAACCAAAGATATTCTTTATACTCTTTAGTAATCACACAGTAATCATAAATAGATTGATCTATATATAGTATTACAAATTGAAGTCAATTAGTCAATTAGTTAACTAATTAATTAGAATCATAACTAATTGACTAATCAATTAATTGATTAGTATAGTGCAAGACAAAAAAAACCCTGTATCTATATCTGCTTATAGTGAGGTGCTATAGCCTTGAAACTTTTTTAAAACTTAGTAAATAGTTAACCTAGATTGTATATTTTTTTTGGTAATTTTTCAATCACTAGAAAAAATTTTAGATAAGAGCTAAAGTTTGAATAATTTTTTTTACAAAAATGAAAAAATTAATTGGGTTCAATTAAAAATTAATAAAAAATCATAATCATATTTAAAAATTCTAAAAGTTTAGTATATTAAAATTCAATGATTTTTATATTGTGACAAAAAATTTGACTCAATTTGATGAGATAGTTATTGAGAAATTAATTTTTAAAGTTTAAAATTTTTTTGTTATACTGTATATGGGTAAAAAAAATTTGTTGTGAAGAGGTTTTTATTAATTTTACTATGTAATTTTAATAAAATTATATAGTAAAATTAATAAAAACCAAAACCTAAAATTGATAATTAACTCTCTCCGTAAATCCCTTACACAAACTTAAATAAAATTCGTGCATCATAAAATTGCCCATATCTCAATAATTTATTAAAGAAACAT